CGTGTGAACTCAACCATGACAAACATCAACTTGGCGGTTGGTTTCTTTGGCGAATGGTGGACATATACCTAGTCCCTAAGTTGCACAATGGAATAGAACATTTAGTTTCAATTTTCTACTGAAGATGCTAACATAGTAAGCGGAATAAGTGTCCAGACGTATAATAAAAAAAAACGTTTTGGTTAGTGGTAAAACAGTGTAGTGTATGTTTCTATATATATCTAGGCACCCTTGATTTTTTCTTCACGATATCATTGATACACCTTGTAACGAAGTTAAAACAATTGCCCTACTTTTTTCGTAATTTCTTCATTGCTCGTCGAAATCGAAAGCAGCGTCATCTGGCGTTTGACCGCAGGCTCCATACTTTGAAGAACGATTCCTAGTGCAAATCCTCTTGTTGGTAAATTCGTTTATTGGCAATTTGAACAGATGTGCGATGTACCTGGTTCTGAGGAAGATAGAAAAGAAAGTAAATGTATTGGTAAAAGTGTATAGTTGTATGCTATTACTCCATTGATCTTTCCAGTGTGCTGAATAACTTGAATTAGATCATGTAGTATTTTCGATTCCTTTTCATAACATAAAATTTATTTCAAATATACTTTGATCCGGAAATGCATAATTTTCAAGATACAGTGCGTTAAACTTAAAAAAAAAATCGTTTTTTATGAACATCTCAAATATCCTTCCACCGATTCTCTTGGAATTAGGCGATGATATTTTTTGTCATGAGGGGCTGATTCAGCCATAATTAAATTGGAATTGTGAAATCCAGTGGCGTCCCAGGGGCACCCTACCGAATATATTGTCAATAAAATGTGCGCCACTGATTTTCTCAAATTCTATATTTCCATATCCTAATGATCAACAAAAAATACAACATTTTGGTCTCCTGAATTGTTTTCCTATTTTGCTGCGTTTCCGTGGAAAAGAATAAATACCAATTCATTGTATATAAATTTGTGCATCAAATTGCATTAAAAACTGGGGTGAAATTGAATGTGTGATCCATGTCCATAGACGTAGAACAAGGATGGAGATTCATTTGCTTCCAATATTTTATCATACATGTTTGACACACTTTGTATTATCGAAAACTACGCCTTCCTGGACCGAGAATACATATAGTTCTCAATATGCATGCATACAGTAGAGTGTGTCAAACATGTATGAAGAAATATTTGAAGAGAATGAACCTTCATACTTATTCTATGTCTATGAACATTGATCAGAATTGATGCAGAATTCTAAAAAATTAGTGGCGCACATTCTATTGACAATAATATTCGGTGGGTTGCCCCCTGGGACGCCACTGGATTTCATATTCATAATTGAACTATGGCTATATCAGCCCCTTATGACAAAAAATATCATTGCCAAATTTCAAGGTAATCGGTGGAAGGACATTTGAGATATTCATAAAAAAGCGATCTTTTTTAAAAGTTTTAACGCACAGTAGGTTGAAAAATATGCATTTCCGGACCCACATACATATATAAAATGAATTCCATATTTCATCATGTAGAATCCCTCTTTTTTGCGCATAATTTCCAGACAACCTGTATACATGATATGGGGTATGACACGATATAAGCCAAATGGAGAGCTTGTTTGAATATGATCAGATACTTCTTATATGACTATTTTCAAGTGAATGACACTTCTGGTAATACTTCAGAAATTTGGTGATGATGTTTCCAGATAATGAATCGCATTTTTGTATTGTAGTCAATATACTATACCTCAATATAGGTGAAACTACGTCAATTATCTCAATCGTGTTCGAGATACCTACAAACATAGTTTATCCAAAGTCAAAGTTCCTTTTGAAGTGAGTGCACGTGCGGCCCGAGATGATCCAATTGACTTCAGATAAACTATACTTCAAAATTTCCCATGGAAAATCTTCATAATGATGTTCCCCATTGAAATATTTCCCAGAAATATCAACGCATTCACAAATCCTGAGAAAAACGAACAATTTTTATGCTATACAGGGTGAGTCATGAGGAACTGTACATACTCCTACCACGAATAGAGGCACTCAAGAGAAATACCGAATGTCCATCGAATAGTGTTTTCAACACTTCTTTTCCAATATATTGGGTGAATTATGAGATTTGGCAAAAACATATTTTGGTCATAACTTTTCAACAGACTATTTCGAATTATTCGAATTGATGGATATTATCATGTAAACAGTTACCCCATCCACTGGTTTGAAAGAGATTATCACCCTCCACAACAAATGAAATGACGAATTACAGGTCTGGAAATGAAAGAACATGTTGATTTCTATTGGACTGAAGCATTGAGAATGTGAGTCTCACTTTTATTTTTGAAATTTATGGCTTGCGAAGTAATTATTTTCGAATGAATTAATTCGTTGTCAAACTTTCGTTTTTGCTAATAACTAATCATTTTTTCAAAAATTCTGTGAAAGTGTGAGGAGAATCTCAAATATTTTATATTTGATGCTTGTTTGTGTGCTTTGGGAATGTCCTGTCACAGTTTACAAAAACCATATACAGGATGAACTTTTTCATAAAAACTAAACTATCGAAATTTTTCAAAAATGGTCCTGGATTTTTTCGATTCTGGAAGATCTCATAATTCACCCTATATATTGGCAAAGAAGAGAAGAACACACTTTCTAATGGTCACTAGGTATTCCGCTCAAGGGCCACTATTCGTGGTAGGAGTATGTTCCTCATGACTCACCCTGTTCGAACCTATTTTTTGTGGTCTATAGATATTTGGACCATTCATATGATTCCAATGAAATATTTCTTGATTTTTTTTGTTATTATTTTTCTGATATAAAATTTTGAAACACGCAAGTCGCAGCTTCAATTTTCCATCTTTTCAATTAACTCTATTATTTTTATAAGGAAACTGACAATTAGGTATTGTTAGGAAATTATCATCAGTAGATAGTTTCAGAGATTTATGAGGAATCGATAAAGATCGTTGAGAATTAATTGTTGTACAAGCGAGGAAGTCATAATGAATTCGGAACATGCCATGAATTACACAACCACGGTGAAATTAATTTAATTTAATTCGGATACCGTAAAAATTTTGAGAAACCGCGATATTTGACATGCAGAACAATGCTTGGAGGTGATTAGATTGGAAGGTAATTTCTTTATTGTTGTAGGAATACTGTATTCGATTTCAACGAAAGCACTGTTCTCACTTGGAGCAAGTGCAAGTCTTTTAAATACGTGGTTTTTATGGAATCTTGAACGAGAAAAAAAGGATCTGAAATTTGTGTTGTATATTCTCTATATCAAAATGAATTAACATGTGATAAAAAGAATACCTATTGCTTATGAATTCAGTGGAGGAAATCAATATTTATATCAAGGTGTGTGGTGGTAGCAGATAATTCTATGATATCAAGACAAGATCAAGACAAGATTTCGGAATTTTCAAGAAGTTGGTGACCCCTACGTACATTGAAGAATAAGTATAGTTTAATTGGGTTCGATGAATAAACTGAGCCCAAAAAAGTAACTTCAGGGAGATATATCCATCGAGAGTTGATAAAAGAAGGTTCACACTTAACTTGTAAACATAAACTCGACCATATTGGAATTACCTGCATAAATGTATGTTGATATTATATAAGCCCAGTCAGCACATCCTTTCGTTGTCAACCTCGAAAGATGTCGAACAGCACTTAATCGAAACTCCTTCATCCATAGAACGACTAGGCTCTGGAATTCATTGCCTGAGGAAGAACTCCCAACAACATATTATAATCTCCAGAAGTTCAAAAAAAATTCCAATACCTACCTCCTCTCCGTATCCTTCCTAAGAACGCACGAAGTTCTTTGAACATTATAGGGATTTCTTTTCGTGCGCTCCAAGCGATAAAAAAAAGATTCTTTTTACTGATATACTTCAACATTCCTGATATTGCTATGAAGGGGATTTTTACAGGATGGGTCATGATTTTTTGGATACAACTTTTTTCCTCGTATTCTTTTTGGTGAAAAAATCGGGTGAACAGAAATATTCAAAAATGGCACTCTTATTGAAATACAAGTATTGTAACTGTTCTCGAGATATTTGAGTTTTTGGATTCACATGATATTATTAGATTAATTCATCCATAACAATAATATTTTAGGAGGCCATGATACATGATTTTGGCATTCATGACATGAACGCGCATTGTCATAGTTGATCTCCTTGTTGGGTTTTTCTGCTTACTAATGTTATAACTGCGATATTCACTGAGATTTGGAGAAATGGCAGATTTTGCGTGATGCAGAGATGTTTCCTGCTGGACGCGATCCAGCAAATTCCAGAACAATTTCGAGGATTGTGCAAAGATTGCGTGGAAAAAAAAATGTTTCGAAACAAAAAATAGAGATGGTAGCCGGCCAAGAAGTTCGAGGCCTTCTGAGATATTATTACTGATGAATTTATCTGTCGATTCATGTCATCAAAAAAATTCGAATATCTCGAAGAAGGTCTCAATTTTGGTATTTTGATAAGAGTGCCGTTTTTATGTGACATTTTCACATGAAAAATACGCGAAAAAAGTTGTTTCAACAAACCATCACCACTTTCTAAAAACACCATTCAATACAATATCAAAAATGTAGAAGTATATCAGAAAAATGTATTTTATCGATATACATTGATGCACGAAATTTAAATCTGGCGAATTTCACCGTTCAGAAGTTATGCAGAAAGAATATTTGGAAGAATAAATCTCCCTTAATATACATTCTGGGCCATCAGTTTATTCATACTATACTATACTGATTTTTCAATGAACTACCACCTCCATAGTGCTCCATACACATTTTTGACTCACCCTCTATATTCACTGTATATTAGTACAAATATTCCTCATCAAATATCACTAGATCATTTCAAAATACTAAGATTTGCTTTCGGGTAGGGATGAAGTGAAGATGTTATAAATATCTTCAGATTCACCTAGCGCCAGTTTGTGAAAGTAGTTGCAAGTGAAGGTACCAAACTTGAACTTGAATCTTGGACCGCAAGCTTTGATATGTGGATATATCAGGTTAGTTTTCATTGCCTACTCTTCTAACAGTGCTCGTGTTTTGGAAATACATCATCACCAGGGTAAAAGGGGTTTGATGTGAGATCAATTAATGCAAAAGTTTGATTAATAGACAATTTTATGATGCAGTATTGATCTGTGAATTTTTTCAATTTAGGTTCTCAATCGAACAAAAAAATCTGGCAAATTTGACCAGATTCGTTTCGAACCTGCTATTTGACTATCGAAATCAGTGTCGCTCAATGATTATCCAAATATTCATGGCTTCTTACCAAAGTTCTTCCATTATATACTATTATAGTTTTTTCCGGATTCAAAGTTATAACTATAATTATGGGGATTCATTTTAAAATTCGACTTGAGCGTAAAGTTTTGTCTCAAAAAAGAGGAAAAATGGACTAATCAGTCAAGGTCACGTGACTTTCGCTACATGTCAGATACAGTTATATTTTTTCCAATTAATTGCTGAAAATAGCCTTATCGTTCAAGTTTCAAGAACAATTACTGAGAAAAGTTGTTTTTATTTCCATTGCACATATCATCAAGACCACAAGGGAAAAAGCAAGAATGTCACAAAAAAGTTAGTTCCGAGAAAAACGCATTTCGAAGTTACTTATTTACTTACTAACTTTTTGGAATATATCGACTGGAACCTTTGGCACGATAATACACTACACTGTTTTACCACTAACCAAACCAACACGTGTTTCGTTAACTATGTTAGCATCTTCAGGAGAAGATCAAAACAGTTTCAATCATAATTATTGGATAAATGTAGTGTCTGATGGCGCCTGCTATTTCACTAAACGATTGGTATTCACTACCGACTATTCCTCTGAGTGTTTTTTTTTTCAGATATGTGTATCCATTTTTCTTATGTCAACTTCTACAGTGGGACATAATCCTGGCTTTCATCCATATGCTCCTGCGCATGAAGACTACATAAGACATGAGGTAAGTAGGTATATAGTTTTGAAAATTGCTTCATTTGATGTCCAAGTGTGAATATTTCCAAAGTGTGGAAATAAGACCTGGAATGGTCAAATACCTAGCGAATTGATAATTATATGTTTTTGAAAAAACCACAGTATATTTCTCATATATGTTGCTATACATCCTTGCTTGAACAGACAACAACTCATCTATACATATATAGGAGAAACCCGACATATTCTAGGAATAGCCAAAATATTCTCCTCTTGACCTTCGCTCAACCCTATTTTTGTCCTATTCTTGACGTCTCATTTTTGAGTTTTGTTGATATGTACCCGATCTCAGAATATATTCTTATATTAGGAACATACATAGAAACTTCGCCATTTTCTTGATATATGTGGGTTTCTTGTTTGACCTATGATTGAAGTCTCTTGGAGACATTTCATAAAATATCTCTTTTTCTGCAACCGACTCAAGAGTCGTACATTTTAATTCCTAAATTAGCTCTTAAACTTGACGTTTCTATCTCTGACTTCGAAATTTTCATGGTACTAGGCAAAACAGAAGAAAAAATTGAGCTTAAGCTCCTATCTGAACTGAAAAGGATGTACCATAGGTGATCATGAATAAACAACAACAGTTAGTAATCATCATATTTAACAAGAAACTCGAACACAATCAAATACATACGAAATTTATGATATTTATATTGAAACTACAATTCGAACATTCTTGAAAATTAGATAAACCTGATGTGTAAATACTGTAAAGGCATTCACAGTATTCTTTTCGAATCATTCACTTCGAAGAGAGAAGAATAATAAAAAAAATAGTTGGTGGAGTACGGGATTGGAATCATTAGGCCGGCACGATACCCACTGGCCATTGTATTTTGTGCGAATTTATGAACAAAACTTTTATACAGGTATGTTTCTTGATGTTTGTTGCATTGCACCCTTATTCGGGTAGCATTGAATTCGTGCCAGTAGTCTCTGTTGACATGATACATGTAACACAAATTGCAACAATGTGAGGTAGTCTGAGGCCTTGTCTCTATCTACTAATTCATATAATCATAATGATCTGTCAAATGAGTCGCAAGTTTTATTCATTCTTTCGAATGCAGAAAAAATGGCATATATCATTCAGTTCAGAAGTGACTTTGTATGACTCGCAAATATTGCTTACGCTCAGCTTCGCTAACGCTTTGCCTCGCAAATGCAAAATTTGCTTGTCAAACAAAGTGTCACTTTCGATCCTAATAAAACAATTCACTATCATGGATACGCAAATTATTGAGAACTAGAAAATTTCAGTGTAACGTCTGAATATGCAACTCCAATAATATATCGGCAATAATCGATCCGAAATTGATAGTGCTTCTATAACAATTGAAGGAAAATCAAGGAGTACTGACAAGAGAATGGGATAGTTCATATTGAAAATCCTTTATCGGTATACTCTGTATATTTGATCATTGCAAAATGTTAATAATTGTTCATGATGAGTGACCTTTTTCCATCTCAGGTTTGAATCGCTTATAGCAACAAGAAGTCCAACTCAAAAATTTTCCATTCAAGAGATAACAAAGACAGCTATCTATACTTTTGAAATTTGGTATTTTGGTGTCAATTATATACCAGACTGAATTTTGTCATTACGATATTATGCAGGGAGGGCAATTAACGTGCCAATTATTTTTTTACATTGGTAGGAGTGAAAACTTCTTTCTCCAATTTATGTCTTCCATATCGTTTAATAGGGTCCATAGCTATTTGAACCTGATGATACCTCTGTAAATGAAATTGAGATCTGGATGTTCAATGTTGTACCGATTTTGAAAAACTTCCAAAGTTGCTTGAAAACAAATATGATTTCATTCAGCGATTTTCTCAAAACACGTGAACTTGAACATATACAATGTGATGCAGGTTTTGAGGTACAACCTGAAATGGGTGCTTGTCTCATCATTTCAATCGAAAAATTTCATGAGTACGATTTCGGTCAGTAGCGGATCTACACGGGGTCAAAGTTCAATAATTTTTGTCCATCAATTGAAATATCTCACTCGCTTTTGAAGATACGGATTTGAAATTTGATGTGTTCAATACTTTCTAGAAATTCATCGTTTCGTCCATTTTTCAAATCTCCAGGGTGACACGTTTTTGAAATTCTATATATCTTTTTTCCTTGATTTTTTTCCAGAAACGATCTGTTTTTGAGATAGATAGGCATATCCGTTCAAAAACATGTCAATTTCATCTATATTTTTTTCTTCAATTCGATTCTTGGACCGAATATGTTAACAATAATGGAATACGTAAAAGAAATAATCACATTCGGACAGAAGATTCTTCCTGGGAAGTTGAATGCTATATATATTATTGTTTAATTGTTTCGAATGATATTGAGAAAGATATTGGATGAGAAATTTGGATATAGCTGGATGGGGCTTAACCAGTGACTTAACACGAATTTTCCACGTCGTCATGGAAATGAAAGCAACCTGACCTTCTACCCTCTGTATCCCCGCTACTGATTCAGATCGGACTTATGCTCAAGAACATTGCAATTTCATTACATTTTATTACATGAAGCAAATCATAATAAGCAAAATTAACATTTGTTGTATCACGGATATGCCTATTTATCTCAAAAACGGATCTTTCCTCGGAAAAAATTGATATTCAAAAAATTCTTCAGATTGAACGATCCTTTTAAGTGAGTGAGAGATGTCAAAGGCGTACTACGAAAAAGTTTGGGGGGAATAAAGAAGCCTCTACTTCCAAAAACGTATCACACTGTAAATTCCAAAATTATTGAGAGTGCTCCAAATGATCATCTTCTAGGAAGTACTTAACGAGCTTCGATCCCTTGTATCTCTGCTACTGATCGAGATCAGACACATATTTAAACACACTTTTTTTATTGACAAGATGAGATCTACTTATCACCCATTCCAGTTTGTACCTTGAAACCTGAATCACTCTGTATATACAAATCCCTATAGTGACAAAATGAGAATTGAAAATTAATAAGAAATTATATATCGTGCCATGTGGTCGTAAAACAACATATTCATCACAGCACCCCACACCTTTATTGATTCTTGATTTGATTTCACTCCGTTCAGCAAAACATAATAAGACAGTAATATTTCATCCTGAACTGACCAACAAATTGTTGATAAGGCAAAACATATGCCGATGTATAGCGAGAAAGTGGAATTACTTCATCGAATGAAAGTTTTCCATTCAAGTCACAGTTCATAAAAGCTGTTATCTTTATAATCACTCATAATCGCACTTTCATTTGTCTTCAGATACCAACAGACTACAGTTTCAGCTACGGCGTGAAAGACTACCACTCAGGGGACGTCAAACATCAGTGGGAAAAAAAAGATGGCGACAAAGTGACAGGCCAGTACTCCCTTCTCGAATCAGATGGCTCAGTGAGGACAGTCGACTATACAGCAGATAAAAAGAATGGCTTCAACGCAGTCGTCAAGCATAGTGGTCATTTCCAACATCCCATCAAGGGAAAGGAAGAACACCCTATAAGTCACAACGAGGTGGTATTGAAACCTCACGTCGACCATCAGCCATACCAACCTCACCACACAAGTGAACCCGTAGAAATTCCTCCGAACCATCGACCAGAATACTCACAAGAGCCCCAGTACGAATGGAAGTACATCTACCCAGACGAGCAAGGCTACGAAGAAGCCTTGGCAGCTAGCAAGTTGGAAGAAGCTCAGCATACGACAAGCTACCAAGCAAACCAAGAAGATGCCAGCTACAACCACTACCTTCACCAAGAAGAAGCGCAGGAATCTCAGAGGTCAACAGTAGCTTCAAAGTACCACCCTCGCTATCCACCATATAATGACGTTAGCTCACAAGGTACTAAGGAAAATCATAAGCCTCAACTGCCTGTGGATCTGAACCTTATCAAGACTGAGCAAGTCGTGCCAGTGGATGTCAGCCTCGTCAATCCGGTGGAAATCGATGTAACAGATCAGAAAAAGTACTCTGCTCAGCCGTCACATGAGCTGTCACAGGAGGAACTCTCGAGGTTCTTGCAAGAGTACTACAAATCCAGTAAGGTGACCAACGAGCCTTTGTTGGAGCATGGATTCAAGCCTATCAGGAGTGGCGTGACTCAGCCTATTCCTGGAACCTTCGACTCGAAGAAGAAGCCGGCTTCCACGCCTGGATTGAGTACTTTTTCTTCCAAAAAACAGGCGCAGCATAAGCTAAGGGTCAATTCTAATCGCAGGCTTCCAAAAGTTAGATCACATAGGCAGCAATATAGGTATTTCACACCGATTAATGAGGAAGTAAGGGAGGGAAAACACTATCATGGGGGAGTCAGTAGGTTATATAGGTCTATATCTGACAGTGGGTATGTTAGGTATGCAGGACAAATTTCGAATTCACAATAAGATTGTGTGAAGTTTTTTATCTGATATCTCGAATTTGTTGATAAAAAGAAGTCATTAGTTATTCACTAGGAATTTTACAGAATGTTACCATTAGTTAGTAATTTATTTATTGTTATTTGGTTCGTTATAACCAATAAAAATCATTGTTATTGTTACCTATATAGTAAAATATTATTGTTTGTGAAATAAAGAATATTTCAGATAACTACCTATAGAATTTTTGAGTTGATTTTATCTCAAGTTCCTCAAAACTCTGCGTCAATCCAGTCCGGATTGTGTAACCATTTTATAGTCACCATCATACCGACAGAAAATGTCTCAGAAATAAGAGAAATGTTTGAGAAATCATGTAAGTACACAATTTTGACAGAATTTCAACAAAATTTTATTCTTGATGAAACAAATGCCACATTTCTATTTTCACGAAAGGTTCACTCACAGCATAGATCTCATAGGGAGATTTTACCTTCTATGGTGTTGAGCCCAATGAAATGAAATTGAGTTCATTGGTTGAGCTTCTTCAACTTTCAGGAGGAAACATAGAGGTGATACACTGCCATCTAGAATATTTTACAACAGTGCCTTTGCATGGGATGAATATGTAGGATTCATTTGGTTCCACAGAACACTGTATTCAACTGAAGAATAGTGTAGTGAAAGTAGTGTTAGATGAAGTATAGAAACTCTTATATAGATGGAGTAGCGAATCAGTTTTCCCAGATATGTGGGCATCATATACATTTCAATTCCTTTTTTGATTTTCTTGGCCGTTACCATATACATATACATATACATACATATACATATAGTTACTCATTGATGCAGCTCATTACATTGAATCACTTGACGTTTTATAACAACACTACAGCAAAGTCAATATCCTCACATATCTGGAATATTTTGAAACTTAGATCCATCATCATAAATGAATAGCTCCCAAAATTTCTTATGGTCTTCTTCTTCATCTTCTTCGAAGCACTGGTGGGCGGGTGAACCCCCTGCACGTGGGCCTCCTTATTCGGGCCCATTGTGCGCCCACATGTTACGACATTCAGCTGGGTATGCCGACTGCCTTGGAGAAGTTCAGCAGCTTCCTCAGCTGAATCTCTTTTACGTCCTCTGGCCTCAAAATTATGTTGCCAAGGACAGCCCTTCTCTGTATTATCGTTCTATGAATGACATTGTGCTATTTGCATGGGTTATCTACCATTGTTTGTTTATATCTCATTGAACATTTGTATAAATTAATGAGTTTTTCCTCATTGTTCATATATGTGTTCAGAACAATTTGTAGTACCCCCATAAACCTGAATTTGATATAATTCATCACGACCTCCAAGACTTGAATTCATAAGTAGGTAGGTACGCCAAGCCACAAAATCCCATTTAATACAGTTCAGTGACTCTGCATTTTATGCAAGGACGTTGGTAGACTGCTACAAGCATTGCGTGATTTTACGCAACTCTTACTCAAACTATGACCAAGGAAGGTGATATCCAGAGCAAAGTTATCGAATTGTCTATAGAATGGCTAATTGAGGAAGTGTACTTGTTTGGGTGTTTTTCGTATTGAAATAGCATCAGGTTAATGTATATGCGACTATAGGTTTCTTCATCCATTTTGATGACATAGCTCCTTGGCATAATCGATTATAGTGGAAATGTCCTACTATCACGAAATCTAGATATATCCGGTGGCAGTGGCAGTGTGAAAACTGTTCAAATACAGTTATTCAGGCACGACCGGGCGTAAAGTAGCACTTTCTTGCCCTTGATATAAAAATAACTAATATATCATCAGGAGAGAATCGAGACTAACAGATGATTCAGGGGATTTTATAAAAACAAATTATCGGAAAAAGCACCATCTACAGAATGTTCTTGAATATCATGTATCATTGAGGGACATGATTCCATGGCACAACTTGGTGTCCAAGTTGAAAAAAAAAATAGTTTTTCAAATATCTTGAAAACGAGTTTTATAAAAAATTATTGAAATCCCCGATTTTTCGGACCTCTGCTGAAAACGAGACGATGATGTGACGTCAAAACCCTAATACTGAAACAAGACTATTTCAGACAGAGATGAATGATGATTTCTGACAGAGTGAATTAGCGCGAAATCACAGTTGAAAGAATTAATATATCAGTTGCCTCAGTCTCCGTCGGGCGTTTGGTATTTTCTTTCAACTATGGCGAGATGAGGTTTCTACGTCATAAGAGGGTCCGTTTTCAGAAGGTACTATTATTCATGTCTAAAAATGAAACATTCCAGTTAATTTTTCCATCGAATTATGTCGTCAATCATTATTTAGGTATGTATAAAAGGATCATTATAAACATGGTTTGAGTTAAAAGTTCTACTGAGGTGTACACGCCCATTGAATTGACCTTCGGATGAAATTTGGGAATTGATTCCGTTGTAGGAAAATATAAATGTAAAGTAAGTGGCAATCCTTGTAGAATTGTCGAAATTCAAGATCGCCCAATTCTGGCGTATTAATTTCGAAAAATGATTAGTTCTTCATGAAATTTGACAACAGAAAGAGCAAATCGCAAATCTCGAGGATGATGAAATCACCTTTTTTGGACTATGTGAACATGAACATTTTAATATATGCAATGATTATACCAAGAGTATGCATGTTGATTTTTTCAATTTATCCCCAATAAAGTACTGAGTCACACAACATTAAAGTTCATTAATATATCAAGATATGATCATTTCAATAACCATGTGGTATTTCTTCCACGATCATTCTCAATCGATAAAAATGAATGATAATATTATGAATACTAGGAAACTACCATGGATATCAGGAGATTCGAATTGAGTTCAATTCTCTGTAAGCAGCGGTGCATGAAATTATAACTTGATCTGAAACTGTATAGGGATCTGTTCAATTCCAGGAGGTGATTTCAATAATGATTATAATTCTTTCAGAATCTTGGGATTATCAATATAATCTGTTCTCGTACTGAAAATGTCCCTGCCTCAAAATTACACAATCAGAAACCAAAAAAAGAAATTTGGTCGATAATCAGTCACTTCTTTGAAACATATGTTCCAGAAAGAAAAAACTAGAAACTTTACTCATCTCTCATCTTATGTTTTCAGAACGAACCTGCTCATATTTCCAACTTAGAAATGGAAAATATTTCTTGAGATTCATCTTCCGTTTTCTACTTTCTTCGCAAAAAATCGATATACCATTGTATATTGTATCATATTGACAAAATTGTTAAACTCATCAGTAACTGGGAAGAAAATTCACAATAATAAAAAGAAATAACATAGCCAGGTCCGATTTCTAGAAACACATTTCGATTTTACAATGAAAATTAGGATCAATGGAAAATAAGAAGCAGTCATGAATTTGATGATCATAACGGAACATAGCAAAAATATACGAATAACGTTAAAAAACACAGTATGAAGTTACAGGTACAGATAATGAATTTCATGAGTACAGCTGATCTTTGAATAATATTTCAAAAATATCAGTATTATTTTGTCATATATTCTCGATCTCCTTTATTTTGGAGAAATATAATCATTGGTTCATATAATTCATATGGATAAAAACTAAATTGTCTTTCCGCATTAACAAAATCCATATCATTAATCAAAACAATTTCTCCACATTCTTCAACAGTAATAATACTCATACGTTTACATAAAACATTCTAGGCCACTTATACTATAATCACATTCTCCAAATTTCATAATTTTCTTATGTTATTGTTCCTATTCATATATTTGGTAGGTTGAATGCAGTGGATTCACTCAACCATTACATTACCATTACAATGATATAAAAGCCGAAATTTCTTTAAACAAGTCAGTGTCAGCTCACAATCCAACCCAATAAGAATACAAACATGTTCTCAAAGGTGTGTATTTTAGTTAAAAGTGCTCTAATTAAGTGATGATAATAACATAGCATCAGTGTGAAAGACATGTTCAGATTGAAGATCATTGTTTATTGTGATAGACAATCATAAAGTGAACAATTTAATAATGAATTCGAAGAATAATCATTTCTCCATGATAATTCAACATAATATGAACTAATTTTTATTTTCAGGTCGCTATTTTGTCCGTCCTCCTGGTGGCAGCCCAAGCTGGTTATCTCTCCCCAGCCACCTCCTACGCTTCCAGCCACCTAGCTGCCCCGATTTCATCCCACGGCTACTATGCGCCAGTCCTAGCCCATGGCTACGGAGGGCACGGCTACGATGAAGGTCGGGACTACTACGCACACCCCAAATACCAATTCGACTACGGAGTGCAGGACCCTCACACTGGGGACCACAAGTCCCAGCATGAAGTCAGAGACGGAGATGCGGTCAAGGGCTACTACACCGTAGCTGATCCTGATGGCACCCTTCGTACTGTCCACTACACCGCTGATGACCACAACGGGTTCAACGCTGTGGTCGAGAAGTCTGGACATGCTGGTCATCCCCAAGTGTATGGGGGTGCTGCCCATGGTTACTATCACTAAGTGCTCATCTGCTTCTTGTTTCTTTCCATTGTGATCTGTTTATACGTGTACCTCTTATTTATAATATGATAATATATATTTTTCATGTTTGAAGATATGTTGTATCATTTTTTGTTGATAGCGAACTAGTTAGGTCTTTGGACACTTCGTATAGATTAGAGCAGATATAATAGGTGGAAAAAGGTGTTTCCTATATGGCATCATCATTGACACTCAAATTCTGCACCTATATACTCATATAAATTATGAGGAAAGAAAATATACAGTGTGTCTCGCTTTCATGAATACACCCTGATATCTCAATTATCAATGGTGCGATTCTCTTGAAATTATTGAAGTGATTGTATGTTAGAATATGGAAGTATTCAGCAGAATGAACAGTGTCATTCACCATTGGCGTGCGAAAAGCATTAATTTGGGAAAAGGATATCAGGACTCATTTTGAATAGCTTTTTTATCAGATTCATAATCTGCATTCCCAAAAATCTCCCAATTTATATTTTCCAAATCCCAAGAGTTGAAATGAAATATTTCAAAATCCCGCTTTTCATGACAACAACCTTAAATCTCAGTTATCAACGATGAGATTTTCTTGAAATTATGATGGTGATTATATGTTAAGAAAATAACATATACAATCATCATCACAGTTTTGAGAAAATCGCATCAATAATAACTGAGATTTGGGGGCGAAGTTATGAAAAGCGGAATTTAGATTGTTTCTTTAGATTTTGAAAATATGAATTGGAGGATTTTTTGGGGATGCTAATTATGAATCTGATAAAAACAGGTATTTAAAATAAACCCAAACACCTTTTTTTCCGAGATAGACACTGTCGTCTAAGATACCACCTGGGAAGGATGGGTCTGAACCAACAAACGGACTGTCGGTTCTGTTGTGTGGAAGACGAAACGGCTGAACACATATTATGTTCATGCTCTAGCTTAGAAAGACTAAGGTTCGACACATTTGGCCTCACCAATTCAGAACCTATCGATTTCAGACAAATCTCACCCAATTCCACCATGAACTTTGTGAAAAGATGTGGATTGTACGGTGAACTGTAACCTCTAGGGGTGAGCCACAATAGACCCATCTGGGGTCGCAGTGGAGGGGAGGTATTTGCCTCACTCACATGGAACCTAACCTAACCTATTAGTATGTATGATGTTAGACTTATTCAGACACTATGGCCAAACACGTGTCAGAAAGTAGTTGCGGTTTATTAGTTCCATTCTGGTAGCGGTGGTAGGAACAGAATGACGTTTACGTCAAGAATCTAGAAAATGAATCAATAAATATTTGGAACAGTGATTGAGGTGATTGGAGAAAATTCTCAGAGATCGAGATGAATAATGTTATTTGGGAATGAACATATATGAAACCTGTCTTACTTGAAAGAATCATAAGCTGATGAACCTCACGATGAAAATGGAAATAAAAATGTCTTCTAAATGCTTTCCACTTTCAGAATGTCCAATTTTTCGTCAATATAATTCAATTTAATGCCAACAGTCATTCCACGTCATTCCTTGTAGTGAGAAGGAATGAAAAGTAGCAACCGGAATCGGAAAATTTGCAAATAAAACGGCACATCAAAGTGACACCCATAATGCCCAGGGCGTTATGGAGGGCATTATGAATCATAACACCTGCCAATTGTTTTTTTGTAGTTCATAATAGTTATTTATGTATCAAGGGAATTATGAGGGCCTTAATTACCGATGGCAAAGTTTGCGTCCCGTGGGCCTCTGGCCCGAGGGACAGCAATTGCCTGAGGTTATTGAGGCTCAGTAATTCCCGTGATACATAGATAATTTTATTTCTGACTGATTTCATTCATTAGATACCTTCCCGATTGACATGTTTTTCCGTATAGTTTCAATGTCATCAGAACGTCAGATGATGATCTTGACTACCGCGAATAGGAGATTCCTTATTGCTACGTTACTACGTGGTTGTTGCTATGCATTTCTTATTCAATTTTAGTTAGAGGGAATTATAGCATCTATAACATCCCAAGGGAGTTATGACCCTCATAATAGATATCGTAACTATGACGATATAAGCTTATAATGTCACTGTCAGAAATAAAATAACATACCAATTCTTGAAAGTGAGCCAATAACACTGTCTCATATATGGCAATAACTTCATTTTTCAACTTCCATTGATTAAATACTTCAAAGTCCTTGTCGTATATACAGGAGTCTGGATTTCTCCGGCAATGAATCCATGGATGACTTGTCTGCATTTTTTATGATACTCTTGGATACATTTGTATTCATTCCCATTATTTTCATAAGACTAACACAACTAAATTGAATGATGACAGCAATATTCAACAAAAGTCAAATTATCAACAAATATCATGACCTACCATGAGAAAAAAATGGAAAAAAAATGCTAGGAGCAATGAACCGCTTCCTGAAATCGATTTTTCGTTATAATAAGATATTTTTATCGAAAAAATTAGAATCTCATATGCACCGCGAGCGTTACTAGATCCCGAGTAGATCCTAACGCTTATCGGGCAACAGTCATTCCTTGGGCCGAAGGTCCTCGGGCTTTAGAATCTATATAACGCACCTGGTACATAAATAACTATTTATAATGTGTCTCTTTCTTGTATAATCTTATTTATCAACATAATTTCCATAAATATCTGGATTCCAGACAGCTTTTGAGGAGTTAATTTCCACCTTCGATTGATAAAATCGTTCCCATTTGTACAATAAAAGTTTAGACTAATGGCGATATACTCAAACCGAATAGAGATAAATGTTATCGTGGGGCCTTTTTTTGCCCCACAAGATTCCTAATTGATAGGCGATTGGCGATGATGTGGATAAATTGAGTGCAATCATTTATAGCTCAACAGATAATGAATGTTCGAATTATAGTGGGCAATAGATGAATAAAATCGAAGCAGTGGTGTATCCATCGATTGATGTCAGGTGAAAATAAACGTCTGATTATAATTGATATTTTTTTATGGCTATCGGAATTAAGAAATCGGAATTTCATCGGCAGTTTTATCTCGGAACCATGAATGCAGATTTTGTCATTGCGCCTTATAACGCATATGTTGGGATTTGTTATATATTATATCAAAATACGTTAGCTGCCGTAGCTGATTTGACTGCATAAATCATGTGGATTCTTGATAGCCCGCGACCATTTGATTGAATTACTTGCATGCCGCATGTCCGCCTGCTGTCATTGAATACTATTATCAAGATTGTCGAGTGGTCGCCGGCTGTTGATCCCAGAATGATCTCATAGAATGTTTTGAGTCGGCAAATGAGGTTAAGTCGCAAGTGGTTTTGGAATTCAGTAATTATTCTGCTCAAAAACTATAGGTGATCTGAAATCAATTTCAAAACTCATATTTTCATCTAAAGATGATTTATTTGGAAAACATAACAGCTGTGAACAGATGTAAAAATTCGCACACTTTTCTACATTGTTCTAGTGAAGTGAAAGTATTAGTGAGTGTGGCATCACCCACCAGGCGAATTCCTCTTTTCTGGATGGAAAATCAGTGTATGTTTGGGTGCTGAACCCCATATGTGTGAACAGTATTCTAAAACGAGCCGTATCTTTGCTTTGTAGATCATGAAAAGCTGTTGAGGTGTGAAGTAGATTTCCGCACGGAAAAGAAATCTGAATATTGCTGAGGGAAATACCGAATGATCTTGGTTGGAATGGTGATATCAGGCATACTGAGTTTCGCCTTTCTAGAGAGAATATAGGCTTGAGTTTTGGTAGCGTTGAATTCATCTAGGTTTTTGGGTGCCCAGGCTGTATTTTCAGCAAAATCGTCATTGACAGCGTTGACCTGCATTTGTCGTAGGTTCTCAGTTTCCTGGAAACAAATAGGAATTCTAGAAGTGAACGCAGTATGGTTGCTCGTAACAGATCATTGAAATGAAGCAGAAACAATAATGTTGGGATTGAAGCCAAAATTGGTCCTTATGGAACTCCGGAATTGATGGCAATGGTATCAGACGTCACTCAGTCCATCACCACATAATAATAATAATAATAATAATAATAGGTAGGTCTTTATCAGGCGAAAGTTTAGTATATAACTATTTTTACACTTTAACCTAACAATTATAGAAATGAACATAGATATCATTGTAGCATTCAACGTAATCAGAACTATACTCTGTATTGAAAACAAAGAAAAAAATATCAGAAGAAGAAAAATTCTTGACGAATGTGAGAGATAGATATATTATGAGATATGGCTTTTTATTATGAGTTCAGGATAATCTTTTTGGCTAGAGGAGGGATATAGATTCATTGAGCTTTTCAAATTTTTACAATGAGTTGACTGTCAATTGTTTGGCTTGAAGGATTTTTTTTAAATTTGCCTTGAATGAATTTACTGACATTCTCTTCAGATGGTCATCTAAATTATTATAAATATGAGGAGCTTCGTAGGTAAAGGAAGAATCGAATTTCTTTGTATGGTGTGCTGGAATATGAATATAATACTGGGCACGAATATTAACATTATGGAGTTGACCGCGAAATCTCAATTTCTCATAAAGATAAGAAGGTGTCTTCGTTAAAATGATTTTATGACAGAACGCAGCGAAATGTAAATAACGACGAGATTTTATTTTCAGCCAGCCTAATTTTGCAATATTCATGATGGTATCTACCTGAAAAAAAAAACTCGATGAAAGATAGCATACCTGAGGTGGTAAGCCATATATTTGATGAGCTCTATGTTGATAGCTTTATTCATAATTTAAAATCAATCAATCAGTCAATTCATCAAACTTCATAATAATAAACTATAATAAGTTTTCTTCTACAATAGAAATTAGAAAAGAATCATAATTATCATCATTGTAAAATACTAGCTAATTCAACAGGGCATACAATGAAAAATGAATATATTTATTGAGGAAGTAAAACGATACCTACTCAATATCAACACTAACCATCAACTCGAAAAAAAGCTGAGAATGGGTACAAAACA